GCTTGGTTGAATTTAACTTGGTTGGATTCTAAGCGGCCTCAATTTTAAGTCGTTATAAGAACTTGAAATTTCCGGTACCATAATTGAAGAGCATTCTAAGCAGCCTCTGGCGGAACTTGAACGGAACTTTTAGAAAATAAATTTAAAAAGGTTTTTGTCCTCTACACCAATTCTATATTTAGTTCGCACTTTATGAGAGTTATTTCTAAAGGCAGGTATTAATGTGAATTGGTTTATCAGCATTAGTAGTAGGAATTGGAGCTGTTTGAAGAATTAAACCCAGTCATTCTGCGTGAGAGCCCCAGCACGAACCACTACGTCATCTGAGATATATTAAAGTGAGCTGTTGTCCCACCTACTGTTGAAGTTTTCAGTGCCAGCTGGCTGAATTGTATACGAAACGCAACGCCTCGATGAATTTTAAATTGGTGTTTGCCCGCATGGTATTCCAACACACTTGTGGCGCAGTGGTTAGCAATCGTAGATCGTATGCCGAATACACGGGTTCGAATCCAAGAAATTACTATTTATTTATTTTTTATGTTTGGATAGAATATTGATGCACTGCATACATATAAGAATAATGATTTATTCGGGCGACTGATCATTTCATATTTACGTACATTAAATTTTGTTACTAATAAAGACCGGATTGCTTCATGTGGCTTGAAAGTTCTGTCGGAACATTATTTGAACTTTATGGAACTTGAAAGTTCAGTCAGAACTTTATTTGGACTTTCTGGAACTTGAAGGTTCTGTTGGAACTTTATTTGAACTTTATGGAACTTGAAAGTTCTGTCCGGACTTTATTCGAACTTGATGAAACTTGAAAGTTCTGTGGGAACTTTATTTGAACTTTATGGAACTTGGAGGTTCGGTCAGAACTTTATTTGAGCTTTACGGAACTTGAAAGTGATTTTAATCGTTGAATGCAGAACTTTTGGTTACTTGGGTAGATTTCTTTGTAGTCAACTCCAGGTTTCTGTGAACAACCCTTAACGACAAGTCGCGCCTTATATCGCTCCAGGCTTCCCTTAGGTCCTCGCTTAATTGCAAAAACCCACTTGTTCCGGATTGGTTTGCGTCCCTTGGGTAGATTCGTCACCGTCCACGTCTGGTTTTCACTTAATGACGCCATCATTGCCGTGTTCTAGCACTTACGTCCTCCACAAGCCATACTTGTCGGACAACCCTCATAATCGCGAACCGTAACTTAACCTTACCAAAAATGGTTAAAAATTGTTTATAATCCCTGCTAAACTTTAACTGAAATTGTTACGGAACTTTACATGAACGTTTGTGTGATTTTTGGTAAGGTCAAGTAATGGTTCACATTTATGCGGGAAGTGCGCTCCCGACCGCTACGCCTCAACCCTTGTTGACTTTCTTCAACAAGTCTTGTTTGTTGCGCTGGGAGCGGATGGTCGCTGCAGGCATCTTCAAAAGCTTCACCAGACGTGTCTAACGTACTATTTCCTGCTACTTCTTCTTCTTCGTCATAATTGGTTACCTTTTCATCAGGGCGTTCAATAGGTACTAGGAACTCTTCCGTGAATAACTCTATGCATTCAACTGCTTGAACATCTTGAACACATCCTGTGCTGAAATATTGTGCATCTTCGTTGATCACTACCATGTCACGGCTGATCTCGAACTTGTTGCTCTCCGGACAATACACGCGGTATCCTTTCGTGTCCTCGCAATAGCCTTTGCTGCTTTCGGGTCGAATTTCTTACGCTTGACCTTCAGAATATGGACCACCACGCTTGTAGCGAAAACTCTCAGGTGCCGCAAATCAGGTCTCTTTCCGGTCCAGATTTCTTAAGGTTCACCAAGTATGCTACCGTTGATATCGCCTCTGCCCAGAATTCTTTCTGCATTCGTGCATCGTTCAGCAAACATTGTGTCTTTTCAACAAGTGTCCATTCTTTCTGCTGTGCCATTTTATCTGTCCTGAGTATCTTGAGTTTTTTACCTGTCTGTCGTTCTGCCTTTGCTCGGAACAATTTGAACGTATCTACTGCCACCCAAGGAAGGAATCTCCACTGGTCCACAGAGATCAGAATGGAACTGGTCCAGCAGTTCTGATGCCTCGGGAATCACTCTTCAAAAACGGTTTTCGAGCTTGTTTTCCTTCTGGACAAACTTGGCAATCCTTCGCCGTTTCACCTAGAAAATCTATACCATTGGGTACGTGCTTGAGCTGCTTCAAACTTGTCCATGTCTGTGTCATAGCTGAATTCCACTTTTTTTCCGTTTTGGGTGTATTCATCACTGCGACCATCACTTTGATCTATTGTGATATTCCCCGTTTTTATATTGCTTTATCAGTTATGCCGTATCACTATTTTGTGAAGCGACCGACATAGACTGACCAAAAGCATTTTCCCAGCCAGGTATTACATTTCGAATGGAATATACTACTTTACTGGGACCTGCATTCCAAATATCAAAGGGTTCTGCCAGTCCCTTATCCAGAAAAATACGCCTTTTATTGAAGATTGCTGCACAAGAGCATAGCAGGTGTTCAGAGTCTTCCTTTTCTATACCACAGAATCGACACATATCCTCTTGAAGTTTTCCTATTAGCTTCAAATGATATTTACATGGACAATGTCCTGTTATCAAACCAGTATAGACACTGAGACCTTTCTTTGATAATTCAAGAATTTCGCTAGTCATTGAAATGTTCGGAATTATGAACCGTTTCGACTGCCTAGCAATGGAAGTGTTGTTCCAATCGGTCTCCACTTTCATTTTTTTCCATTTCTTGATCTCCATTTAAGAGAACAAGTAGAAACTCCACAGAATGGTTCTGGCCCTATGAATTGCTGAGATGACCCTAGCCTGGCTAACGTATAGGCTTTTTCATTCCCTTCAATTTTTTTCAATTCCACTTGCTAGAAACGTCTCCTCTGGCTGATTGACTTGGTACAGGCCACCTTCTTCCTTGCCAGAAACGACCAGTTCACCGTCCGCATTCAACACCTCACATTTGTTCGCAGTAAAGATCATAGTGCGGTCTCTTTGCAGATCGTACTCATCGACAGCAGATTAGTCGCCAAATCAGAAATCTTCAGTACTCCGTGTACATCGATCTTGCCGTCCGGAATCTGCATTTTAACCGTACCTCTTTCCAAAACCATCGTGCTTCCATTGTTCGCGGTTCCGACCGCGTGTTGCAATGCCGTCTCATCAACGAAGTTCTGATTCGGTTTGGCCATATAACACGTCGCTCCCGAATCACATCTTGCAGGATCTTTGCCTTCACTGCATCCGCCATAAGCCCCATAATCATCGGCTCGTATAGTGATCTGGTAGCAGCCTCGGTAGCAGCAAGGTTGCCAACCACGAATCATCTACACGGTTAGAAAAAAGTACCCAAAATTAAGTTCTTTTCACTCATCTCGGCACTATAGTGCAGGAACCCAAAAGTAGGTAAAGCTGGTCAAAGTAATTTTCATTTAACCAAAAGTAAGTTAGTTGTACCCAACAGTAGGTAAATATCACAGAACAGAAGGGGAAGTGCAAACAAATCGGTGAATCAAATAGTGGATCGTTTTTCTGCTCAACAAGCGATGTGCTGTGGTAGCGTTCTACACGGGATTACTATGTGCACTCACACTATCATAGCATGCTGCCTATCTTAACTGCAGGCAGAAGATGCCTTCTACCGCAAGGTGCGCTAGTGTTCACAAATGACAAGTGGAGCCACTTTCTGATCTGAAGTTCCACTCCTGTGCTGATACTCATCAGTTCGTTGACGTATTCTTCCACACTATTGTACCATCAAACCATTCGCGTGATCGGGAAACCTTCACCAATATTTACCATTTTAAGAAATAATTATATTTATTTATATTTTTAGGTTATGAATCAAACTAGAGGGTGGCCAACAAGAAATCTAACACTTTTTTTTCTAAATGAAGCACCGTACTCTACACATACATAGGTCGGAAACTAAATCTAGATTATTGTTTTAATAAGGCCCTATCTCCATTTATCAATTAAAAAAAAATTCAACTTGATTCGCTTTCTACCTCCGTGACCTAAGTGGTGGGTTTTAATTATGGATGCATACAATCAGAAGTTCAGGATTAAATTAAAGATTGTACATATTGTGAAAATACCGTGCATTAGAAAACGAATAAAATTTATCGACAAATGGTGATTGGACCTATTCAAAAATTAATCGACAAATCTATAAGTAAGCCATTGGATTCTGATAGCACGTCACAATAGGTGCAGAGCCAGGGGTGATCTGGTCACAGTTCAAGGCAAAATATTTTACGATGGGCTAAGGCTGTGAACCATTTGCCGAGTTAAAATTAACTCGTGGTTAAAAGTGACATTTCGAAAGTTATTCTTCATTTTCGAAAATCCCTGTGCTGTCAATCGACCGGTTTTCGAGAAGAACTCAACCACGGTTGTCAACATTTAACTTCTTGTCTGTCAGAAATAACCACGCTCGGATAGCAGCGTTAATCGATAACTTTCCATCTGTCAAATTTTAACCAAAAGTTAAAATAATCCACCAAATGGTTCAGAGCCTAAATGAGTGTTTAATAACCGTGGTGAATTGAATTTCTTTCAAACGAACACATCAATAACCCGATACAGAAAGGATAGCGTTTTTATTGTTTCTCTATCTCAGTTGATAACAACAGATTTACAGTAACTGCTGCAGCTTTACATCATTATATGGCTTTTGTTTTGGTTGTTGATGGGTTACTAGGATGTTGTTACACATCTAATAGATCGAAGTGGGATAATTTTCCCATCCTCATCCATCCACCATAATGAGATAAGCTGCTGCTTCGGTCTCTCCCGTACAGGTAAATACAATAGCTTACAAATAGGTTTGATATCTTCTATTAATTGATCTGATTTATATCGTCTCGTTTTGCAGATGCTTTATTTTATTTGTTCCACTTTTTTTTTGCTTTGTTCGGTTAATAAGATTCATGAGACACAATGACAATCGCTGGGTTAATCTTGCATTTGTTCTTTTTTTTTTCTTGGTTAATCATAATACTTGTGTGTAGGTACCTATTTGTCACTATCTCCTAACTTTAGGTGAATCAATTATGCGGTCAATGTGTGAATGATATATAATACTTACACCTGGTGATAAATATACTTTTTTTTTTGGTGAAGGACTGTGTATATATTTAATAGTTATATATATATATGAATAATGTTTATCTTCTTCGTTTTTAATAATTGGTAGCTATTCAGACCTCTAGTCGACAAAGAATTATACCTACTAATGTTTTGTAGAAAAGCTTGCTCTTTACAAGAAAACGTGTTATTGTTTACCAGTTTTTGTTTTGCAGACTATTGTTAATAATATAGTTTATTTACTAAATCCTAAAAGTTAGTCTATCATAAATATACATAAATGCATTGATTTTGGTATTGATCTATCTTAGGTTAAACAAAAACGACAAAGGACGTTGGATGCTGTGAGGTATGATGTCAGCAAAAAAGTGTTTTTTTTTTCTTCTGTTGGGTCGTGGGGTGGTCTGATTGATCATAAGAAATAACGTGACGGAATCATCTATGGGTACCAGGTACAAATACGGAATAACAAGAGCAACACATTTTTTACTTTAAATTCTAGCACGCTTTACGGTTAGACCTTTCGAAGGAATTGTGACAAATACTGAATGGGTCGGGTGTAAAAGTATAGGTGAGTGCGCTTTGTGCTCCACGTGTTTTCAAGGTTGGATTAACAGAATTGGTTCAATCATTTGCATATGGTTTTTGACAATCTTTAAGTTTTTTTAAAATCTGTGTTAAGTCTGGTTTGCAGGATCCATTAAGCTTAAAAAGGCAGTGAGCCTCCTATACGTCACTATCGAAAGTACAATCGATGCATAGAAATATCGAGATATGAAGAAGCCAATTCAATACGGCGTTCATAACAGGGCTCTAAACTTTCGAAGCTCTAAAATGAACTTAAGTTTTGATTCTTTCGTACAACGTGTTTAACGCATCATATCTATAACGCCTAGCGAAACGAAACGAAAATGAAAAAGAAACACGCTTTGAACGCTTTGCTCACCCCTTTCAATGAAAGTAACGTCGATGTTCGAGTTGAAACGAAGCCTCATTATAGCTTTCAATTCCTTTCACCGACACTGTCATTTTGTTCAATATGCGTTATGTCCCATTTTCGTTACTTTTTTTTAGATAAATATCTAGGGTAGAGAACTACTTCGGCCTAATCGCCCATTTTGGGCCTATCCAGCAGACAACTTTAAATAAATCCATGATTTCAGCATTAACAAGTCAATTATGCGTTTGGTACGATACTTTAGTTAATAACCTACCGAACGAAGTCAATGAGAACGCGTGATATCAAGGTGTGCACCCATTATTCCCAAACACAAAAGAAGCGCTCCGACCGAATCAATTTTTATCTTCATCCGATAGGCCGAAGTGAATTCATTGGCGTTTCAATGGCGTTGCAATGCGTTAGGCCGAGTTTAGAATCCGTAGGCCGAGTTTGGCGTCAAGAAGCAGTGTTAGACTTTTGACAATATCTCATCGATTGGTTTCTTTTTATCAAATCTTACGGTACGTACGGAAAGGTAAATAAATTTGGAAGCCATCAGTAATAATAACATTCCGTTTGGTGCTAAACTGCGCTAGATTAAGAAAGGCTAAGTGCGAGCTGTGCTTAATAGGCCGGAAATGGGGTAGTTAACCCTATGTGGTTGAAAGTTAAATTTAACACTCGTCCGCTTCACCGAAGCTTGAAAGAAAGACGAATGAAACAACGGGAGAAAGGGAGACAAACGAATGCAAACATTGTGTAGAACTAGAATTTTGACTAGAATGGGGTAAGTTAATCGATTTGCTTGGGACCAATAGGCTAGTAAAGCAGTGAGCCAATTTAAAATCGTTGGTTTCCACCAGTTGTCTTACCCCGTCGTTCATTGAGAAAATTTATTGAGGCGTTTGGACAGTACCAAGTAATTCAATAACTCTCCAGTAACATGTGACTAGGACCATGTGCCAAATGTAAAACAATGCCTTTACACATCGAATGCTCATAAATCACAATATTCCCACGCAAATTAACAACACGATCCAATAGAGCAAACTTGTTTTACCATATGCTTCTGTCGGTTTGCCTGAATGAGTCTTAATCCGCGAGAAATCGACGCTTCAACATGGTTTAAAACCTTCGTTTACGTTTGACACATAGGCCCTTTTTGCATGTTCCTCTCGAACTAAGTGTACTTCTTTTTTCTTCGAGCATACCGGGCTCAAGTTTGATCTTCCTACTGCTCAATTTCATACAAGCCGTATGTTAATTTTCCCCGCAAAACCCAATGAAAGTGCAAATGATTTTCCCGAAAATTCTGCGTGACAAAAAATGGGCTAGAATTGTTTGCGTCGTCTTAATTGATAGAAAATGGAAGCGTCGTGTGTATAGTCAGTAACGGCGTAGAAAAAGTTCTGCGTATAATACTTTTTATCCCATTTTGTGCCACCTAGTATTAAGCGTAACAACATAAGACTTCTCCCACACTGTGCATGTATATAAATTGCTTATTTTCCCGCAACATTAACCTCCCACCTTATGAGTCATCATCGTCATCATCAATGATCGCTTGTCTATCGACACTCTTTCTGCTGACCCGTCCCTTCACGATCTTGGTCACCGTTACCCGTGTTCCTCCGGTTAGGCCGGCCGAATGTGTAGCCCCCCAGCCACGGATGGCTTCCTGAGTTGACATGAGCATCGAGTAGGACGTTCCCAGTTCTCCTTCTTTACTGTTGCGAATCCCGTACAGGAAGTAAACCAACATACCAATCGACAGCCAGATGAAGAACCGGAGCCATGTGAGGAAACTCAGATGTACCATAAGTTCGATGTTACAGAATATACTGAGCGCAGGGATGTACGGAACCAGTGGCACCTTGAACTGGAGACCACGTGTGTTCTGGTGGTGGGCCGAGATGACCACAATACCTGTTGAGAATGAACAGCATTAAGGTTTACGTTAAGTCAGTGCATAAAAATCATACTCACATGCCACCAAACAGAACAGCAGGAATCCATAGAGCCCCAGAGCCCACCAGGTCCCGTTGTACAGCTCATCCCAGGAAACTGCAAGCTGGAAGCAAACGGCCACACTGAGAACACAAAACAGCAACACCGCTCCGGAGCAAGCTACTCCCGGTTCACAGCGTCCCAGAATCGGCTCCAACCAACGAAACTGTGGCCGCAATCGCCCGGCCAGAGCAATTTCAATCATCTCACTCGTCGGAGACGACGGATCTACGGCACTCGATTGGGACGAAGATGAAGCGTTCTCTTCTTCGTCGGTTCCCGGGGTATCCGGTGCCAAGTGGACCGTTTCCTCGACGGAAATTGGTCGATAGCGGAGCACGATAACGCTAGCACTCACAATGGTGTAGGCCAGTAGCGTCCCAATGGACATGAATTCCACCAATTTCTCCAAATCAAACAACAGTGCAAGCAATGCAGAACAAAATCCAGATACGGCCAAATTGAGCAGTGGAACCTGGGTTTTGGTGTTTACCTTACCGAAGCAGGAAAATAGTAACCCATCGCTGGCCATCGCGTACAAGCACCTGGGAAGAGCGAACAGCGAGCCCAACAACGTTGTCGTCATACCGCAGATAGCACCAGTAGATATAGCATACTTTGCCCAAGCAATACCACGTGCCCCGAACGCATCCGGAAGAGCCGCAGCCGGATTGATTTCATTGTACGGTATCATAAGAGTCAGAGCGGCGCTTACCAGCACATACCCGATGGTCACGACACAAAGCGATAGGATCGTGGCCACTGGAATGGATACACTCGGATTCTTGGCTTCCTCTCCGGACGTAGCAATGCTATCAAACCCTACAAACGCATAGAAGCAGGTGGCCGCCCCTGCCAGCACTCCACCGAACCCGTACGGAAGAAATCCTTGCTCCGGCAGTGACCAATTGGCAGGTTTTGCATACCAAAACCCAAGCACTACCACCAGCGTCATCACCACCACATTTACCGTCGTCAGGATACTGTTGATCATGGCCGTTGCCTTCACCCCGGTTGCCAACGCAATCGCATAGGCCATACAAACGGCAAACGCCAAAAAGTCCGGATACTTGGCCAACAGTTTTTCGTGCATCTCCCCCGTTATTTCCATCGTCGTATTGGCCACAATGTTTCCCAGCATCGAGTCAACGTATCCACTCCATGCACGGGCCACCGACGCCGCACCCAGCATGTGCTCCAGTATGATGTTCCACCCGATGACGAACGCCCAAAACTCTCCGATTGACACGTACGTGTAGACGTAGGCCGAACCGGCCTTCGGCACCCGAGTTCCAAATTCCGCATAGCACAGGGCGGCCAGCAGTGATACCAGTCCGGCCAGTATGAATGACAGCACTATGCCAGGACCGGCCATTTCGCGAGCCACCGTTCCGGTTAGTACGTAAACGCCGGCGCCCACCATGTGACCAATTCCTGCAATGGGAAACGAATAGGACAAAAGATGAAAGGGTGGTTAAAGGCGTCTTATTAAAATGGGATTGATGTTCATCTTAGGCAAGAAAAGCACGTGCGGTAATTTTGGAACAACGTTTTTTTTTTTTTTTAATTCTTTATTTAAGAGATTTTTAGCCTTAGGCTAGTTCATCTCTATTTTGGAACAACGGAAGTTTTTCATACTAAGAGCCAATTCCTTCACCTGCGCTTAAAACTTGATACAGGTTTATCCATGCACGTTTTTTTTTTCCTCTACCGACGCCAGGTAGGCAGCTCCCACACCTGGACCCTACCTATCGATATTCCTATATTCACCCAATTATACAGTTCCGTGCGCCAAGTTAAAATTGAGTAAGCTGCGTAAAACTCAATTTTGAGTTGTTTGAACTTGACGTTGAGTGAAAACAACTTTAAAGTAAGTAATCATGTTTGCATGCGAGTGAATGACAACAAATCAAAATTCAGTAGGCGCTAGAACCAACAATCAATACGAAACTAACGATTTTAAATTGGCTCACCACTTTAGTAGCCTATTGGTCCCAAGCAAACGATTAACGTACCCTATTCTAGTTGAAATTCTATTACTACACTATGTTTGTTTTGATTCGCTATGAAAGTTTGATAGATAACATCAGGGGTGTGTGGATTTATGCAGAACATGCAGGGGTGAGTGAAATAGCTTGGGACTGCTTGGGACCGTTGTTCTGGTACTGAGTGAGGCAAAAATAATAATGATTTTCTTCGGGACCCAGTGGTCTTAGAGTTACCTCTATGCTAGAACCATAGAGGTAACTCTAAGACTATAGAAGGTCCCGAAATAACGTGCTCAACTTTTTGGCTCAGCTTTGGTACTCTCTTCGGTCCCAAGCTAATCGATTCACCCCTCGAAACTGTAAGCTGCGGCTTACCTGCCAGCCTATAGCTGGCCCGATTTTACCCCGGCGGGGCGGCCTCGAGCAAGGGTACTTCCCCCAAAGACGTTCGGATTTGGGTGGGACAAAACAACAAAAAGTAAATCAATTTTAGACGTCTATTCGCTACTTATCTTCTCCTCCTCGCTGTTGGTGCTGCTGTTCGGTGGGGCCCTTCGACGACAATATAACGGCGGTTCTGCTGCTACAAAGCACGGACTGTGCTGAGCGGTTTGCTTCTTCGGCTGTCCTTGACACTTAGCGGGGGGGATGAGCGGGGCTCGTCTGTTGGAACCCCCCCGGCGACGTTGGTGACGAATCACCGGATTGCCTACTCGCCGTAGGCAACCCCGGCAGACACCGCGGTGTTTCTGCCCAGGCAAACTCACCTGTAGTACTGCCTGCTTCGTCCTGCTTGACGATTAACTGCGGTGGCGAGACTGGCTCTATTGGCTGAGCCACCGCAGTCAGGACGGCGAGTGTCTACCGGATCCTTTGTGGTTAGCCGGGGAAGCGATTAGCTCCTTAGCACTTAGCTTCCCACAATGGCGATCCGACACTCTGTTGCACTCACAACTTTCACGGCCACGGAGCCGACTTTCACTCGCGGTGCACAACAAATCCTCCGGACTGGCACTCGCGTCGTGGCTGGGCAAACCTTTCCCAGTTAAAGTCGTTTTTCTCGGGACTAACGGAAAAAGCGTCTCCGAAGAAAAAACCCGCGTAGACTTCACCGTGGCTCGAATTGTTCTCCCGGTTTTCACAACGTCACCTCTTACAAAACAAAACCGCCATCGCTCCTGCAACCGCGCTCGACTTTTTATGCTGTTGATCTGATTCGCCTTCTTTTGCAGCGGGAGGAGAAACGGGACCTAATTTTATTTGAGACACGATACATTCTAAAACGATAATTTTTTTCCTATCTAACTAAACTAATAACAACAAAAAATAAATAAAATAACGCGCAAAATTTACAAGTTAAAATTATTCACGAAGGCATAGTGGTGAGTATGTCGCCGGCCGTGCGATGACAACAAAAACAAAGCATAACAAACACGGCACACACTCGTGTAAAATACGGCAATATTACACTCGGCGGCAAAACTACACAAAACGGGATAAATTGTAACACGCAGGTTACAATCTCGCCCACACCGAGGAGAAAAAAAAATGGCACCATTTTTTTTTGTTATCCCTAACACCTAACACCGTGAACAATTTTGTATAAACGAATTAAAATGAAAATAAAAAAAATAAATAAGAAAAAAATAAAAAATCTGCCTAATCCTAACAACTTTTTCCACAATAAAAAATGTCACAATCAGGGACAGAGAAACGACCGGACTAATAAATCGGTGCCTCGACATTCTCACCCATCTGTAGACCAGAGTTGGGTCTCCGAGATGCGTCAACTCCACCATTATCACATCCGGGTTGCAACGGGTGAATGAAGACTCAATTCCACCCGAGCCAATTCAAATAAACACTCGAAAGCATTCGCTTCCTAAAACCCTGCAAGTCCCAGTTATGGTTTTGACTTGCAGTGGAACGGTTGTCAATTCCAGTTTTTTTTGACTGTCCAGTTTGTGCCCTGACGATATCCATACTCTAAATATCGATTGGGGTTTTAATTCTTTTCAAATTCATACTTAAATGTCTCACTCATTCATCAACACTCATTTGGCCTACGCGTTCATTATTCAGTAACGTGAGTACTCCGAATTAAACCCCCGACATATTACACACATAAAGTAATCAAACAACTGGACACATACTGGACATCGGTAGGTCTTCTATACATCAAGTGAATTTCCGAAGAAAAACACAAGAGCAAGACCCCGAATGTGAAAGCCAGTCAATTAAAATCTATTTCTATGAAGAATTAGCCTAATTACTCTGATTTCAACATAAAATGAAAGAAAACAAAAATTATGAAAAACAAATTAAAATTGGTGTTTGCGCGCGCCAAAATTACGGCGAGAAATTTTCTCAGTGTATTCCCACTGAGGTGTTACGCGCAAAAGTGTAACCCATCCTGAACAGATTGCGGAACGCACGATAAATGAAACTGTCAATCCGTTGATGACGTCATCCTCGCGAAGAGGCAAAAGAGAATGAGAAAACGAGATGTAAACAAAAACAATCGAATCGCGAAACCGTCGATCGCGGTTCGATTAATCTTACCTCGTTTTCGGTAGTTTTGAGGCTTTTGCCGTCGGGAAAGCCTCTGGTGATGATTTTTTTTGCTGGTGGTGTCCTTCTCCGTAAGGAGGAAAATAATGTGCACGGCGGATTGGCCGTTTTAAGGTCGAAAATGGACCTGTGAAAATCCCGTCATTCAGTATGAATGACTACGGGTAATGTTTTGGTTCTCTGATGAACCATTTGAACGGTGCCGAAGAAAGAAATTCTCCCTGCGGAGCAATTTTTTAAGTTTAACGGGTCCTAGGTCGACCCTTTGGATGACTCCGACTTCCAAACAGTTAGAGGAATCTGGAGGTAAGTCAACCGGCAACATATTGGTGATGAATTCGCTTCCGAAATCGTCACTTTCCATCCCGAGACTCCCAATTGAGTACCGAGTATGATGTACTGATGACGATTTGGAAGCAGTAGGAATTTATTTTGTTGACCGGTTGACGATTATTCGCTGTTGGACGGAAAATGAAACTTCGGTACAAAGTACTGTTGTTGGTAAGTACTTTGCATGTAAATCAATTAGAATTAATCATGCTAATTGATATTTTTCATTTTAGGTCATCTTCATCAAATCCCGGTGGATGAGGAAGCTTATTCCTGTTTGGATGGTGCCGCGAAGGCTGAAAAAATGTTTGGGCTCGAATATGGAATTTTTCCATTGAGAAAATTGAAAAGTAGGTGAGCTCCAAATTTAATAAGAATTAGTTTATAATGAAGTTTTTGAAGGGATAAGATTCCAAAACTATTTTTAGTCGGATCTTATCCCGTTTTTCAAACAATAAGGGCATTGAGAATGCTCGTACCCTTCAAATCCACAGATAACACAGAACACACGCGAGGGTAGGGGGCACGATTCATGATCGTGGCCTCTTCCTTCGCAGTTATAACAGACTCCAAGGTCTGGTGGACGATATACGTCCACAAGGCAATCCAATAGGGTTACCGATTTGTGTGTCTGTGTTGTTTTCAGGTTTTTATGAGCATTCTTGGGGAGATTCTGGCCTATCTGTTTACCAGATGGTTTGTTGATTTCTGGTGAAGGTGGTCGTCCACTTTTATTCCAGAAAATCTTTGTTTTAGAATTGTTTCTGCGATTCTCCTGCTGTGGCTTATCTCTTTGGTAGCCATCCGAGGCAGGTTTCGCAGATGTTGTAGTGGTTTCTCGGAACTTCCCAAATACCTTTTGGTAGATGGGTGTCTTTGAAGCATCTACTGATTTCCCGAGGCTTATTAGCTCGGCCAGCGTGTTCACCGGCTGGAAGATAAGAACCTCTTTGTATTCGGTTCTGAGATTCCGCTTTAAAATTTCGAGCTTTTCGCTTCGTGTTAGCGATGCGGTCATAGCGCAAAATATTTTCTCCATTTGTAGGTAATATTCCTGAAAGGATTCATCTCGTTGTTGGCGACGCTGAGATGCTTTTGTTTTGAGCGCAGCGTCAAGTTCAGGGTGAACAAAGTTCGCCTTGAGCTCACAAACGAGATGATTCCAGTTGAAAAGGCGCTTTTGAGACCGCATAGTCTGGAACCAGGCCAGAGCATTTCCGGTGAACAGATGCATGGCTGAGTTGAAGAGTTCCTCTTCGGAAAGTTGTTCTGATTCTGCATAGTGGTGAACATTTTCTAAAAATTCGTTAAGTCCGATCCCCTCATCATTCCCAGCGTATTTTTGGATTTTCCAGTCAGCCACCCGTTGGTGCTGACGACAGAACGCGGGGAACTCGACCGTTTCTTTACTTTTCCAGTTTGGAGAAGTAAAGATCGGGAGTGAAGGATGAACTTCGGAGTTCTGAAAATAATGTCCAGGACCGACATTACCGAATGTTTTAGAATTGTTCACCATACCAGAATCAATAAAAATGTGTGGTTTAA